TATATGACTAGGGTTGGGTATCGAAAACCGGTTCCATTTTAGAACCGGTTCCAAATTTCCAAGAACCGGGTATTCGCCAAGACGCGTGCATTTCGATTCTGCTTAACGATTCCTGCGTTTGCATTTTAATGTGATTAAAAACGATTTAAGATTTGAAGTCCAAAAAATTGAACCAATTCATTATAGAAGAAGTCCACACGGCTCCGGGGGGCTAATAAAGGCCTCCCGAAGCGAAGCGATGCATTTGTGTAAGAAAAACATACAAACGCAGCTGCTGCCATTTTTGCGACGATTTTTTTGTACACTGTAATGGATTATAAGATAACTAACAAACTGTTACGATTTTAAAAGTTTCATCTTAAATCGCAATAATTATTTATGTGGTGAAATGCCGTGTAATATGTGGTATGACTGTACCGTATCTCTTAAAGGGATAGTTCACCCAAAAAAAATTACCCCATGATTTACTCACCTTCAAGCCATCCTAGGTGTATATGACATTCTTCTTTCAGGCAAATACAATCTGAGTTATATTAAAAAACACTGTTGCTCTTCCAAGTTTTATAATGGGAGTGGATGGTAGCCCAAAATTTGAAGTCCATTATAATTTAAATAAAAATTGAACCAATCCATTATAAAAGAAGTCCACACGGCTCTGGGGGGTTAATAAAGGCCTTCTGAAGTGACGCAATGCGTTTGTGTAAGAATAATATCCATATTTACAACTTTATAAACCTTAATCTCTAGCTTCCGCTAACTGTCGTACGCACGTTCACGAGAGAGTGGCGTCCAATGGATGACGTAGGCGTAGCGTAAACTCCAGTGAGAATATGCTAGTCTCGCAAGAAACAAGTTTTGTTTACAGCAAAGGAAAACCAGTGTCCTCTTGGTTTATATTGAAATCCTCCGACATTTTTCTTTACAAATCCTCGTTTTGTACTACAAATTTGTGACCGGTGTTTTGTTTTGTTTTGCTCTCTCCTCTGCGCTTCCACGTTCGTCACCCCATTTGCCTACGTGCTACGTCATCCGCTGGACGCCACTCTCGTGAACGCGCATACGACAGTTAGCGGAAGCTAGAGATTAAGGTTTATAAAGTTGTAAATATGGATATTTCTCTTCCTTTAGAAGAAGGCCTTTATTAACCCCCCGGAGCCGTGTGGACTTCTTTTATAATGGATTGGTTCAATTTTTTGGACTTCAAATTTTGGGCTACCATCCACTCCCATTATAAAGCTCGGAAGAGCCAGGATGTTTTTTAATATAACTCTTGATTGTATTCGTCTGAAAGAAGAATGTCATATACACCTAGGATGGCTTGAGGGTGAGTAAATCATGGGGTAATTTTCATTTTTGAGTGAAATATCCCTTTAAGAGGAAGGGGTTTTATACTGCAATTTTTTATGTGTCCTATAGGGGGCAAAATTTGCTTAGTGCCAAGTTTCGACTGTTCAAAAGTTTAGGGTTTTTTTGTTTTTTTTGGTTTACTTTTATTCAGCAGGTAATGTATTAGGATATTAAAATGTTATATTAAGATATTGTATATTAGGATATATATTGTATTAGGATATAAAAAATGTTTTTTAAGAACCAAATCAACATATTAAAATGATTTCTGAAGGATCATGTGACAGCTGGAGTAATGGCTGATGAAAACTTAGCTTAGTCATCACAGGATTAAATTACAGTAAATATATTACAATAGAAAGCAGTTATTTTAAATTGTTTTTAGAAAATATTTGCTGACTTGGTGAGCATAAGAGAGACAAAAACATTAAAAAAAAAAATCTTACCAACCCCAAACTTTTGAATGGTATTGTAAATACTAATAACTACAATTTTGAACATCTAGAATCATTCATCTGAAGATTTGAGTTCTTTAAGATGATGGCCTGCTTTAAAAATTTGAGTTTGAATGTTCATTGGTTCAGAAATGACAAAAACCCCAGTTAACATGCTGAAAGACATCTTTGAGACTATTTATCATATTTGTGTATAAGCACCTGAGAAACACGAGCGAATTCACAAATAAATCAGTTTAATGTTGTAGTAACATCTGCCAGGGAACGTTTTAAAAAAGTGGTTCAGATGTGCAAACACTCGAAATGTGACATGTTCCAGATGAAAACTGTCATATCGAACAGACGTCACATTGACGTGCGTGCATGTCAGGGACTGAACATCAAGCAGAAAACCTCTCACAAGGTCGTTCTGAAGAAATTCTAAAAACTTTGAAGCACATGACAAAATTATAAAAGCATTGAAATCAGATGGTTTCATAGATATTTACTGATTTCATGGAAGAATCTCATTTACACATCCATGTAATCTTGAATTACATTAGTCCCTCTAAATAATATGAGGATCGTTGCTTGGCCCTGCTTTAAAACATTTTGATTCCTTTGATCAAGAGCTAAATGTCTGTCTTGCAACCACAAGACTGGAAAAAAAAAGCTATTTTGTTATCTACAAAAGAAAACGATGACTTAAAGGGTTAGTTCACCCAAAAATGAAAATTCTGTCAATAATTACTCACCCTCGTGCTATTCCAAACCCCTAAGACCTTCGTTCATCTTCGGAACACAATTAAAGATATTTTTTGATGAAATCTGAGGCTCTCTGACCCTCCCACAGACAGCAAGGTAACTACCACGTTCAAGGTCCAGAAAAGTACCAAGATGATCGACAAAGTAGTCCGTGTGACATCAGAGGTTCAACTGTAAAGTTACGAAGCTACGAGAATACTTTTTTGCGCAAAGAAAACAAAAATAACGACTTTATTCCACATTTTCGTCTCTACTGCGTCACTTGTGGACGTGCCACCACACGCTCGCGTCATGATACTGTCGTTAACACACATCCACAAGTGACGCAGTAGAGACGAAAATGTGGAATAAAGTCGTTATTCTTCGTAACTTTACAGTTGAACCACTGATGTCACACGGACTACTTTGTCGATCATCTTGGTACTTTTCTGGACCTTGAACGTGGTAGTTACCTTGCTGTCTATGGGAGGGTCAGAGAGCCCTCAGATTTCATCAAAAATATCTTAAATTGTGTTCCGAAGATGAACGAAGGTCTTACGGGTTTGGAACAACACGAAGGTGAGTACTTAATGACAGAATTTTCATTTTTGGGTGAACTAACCCTTTAAGAGTAACCATCACATTGAA